TGACCTGCAATATCTGAACGCACACGTATCCTTGCATTTAGTTTAGTACTTGTTATTCTGCCGTCTTGCGAAACAGTGAAATCTTTCCAGCTGAGTTATACGAAGTTTGCATAGTCATGTCACGTGTCCCCCATTCAAGTGCAAACCACATTGTGCACTGTGGGGCAGGGTTATATAGTTCTAATCTAGCGAAGGTCAGAAACAAATAGCACTGCAGCCAGAGTTCAGTGACAAAGGTATATGCATGTGTTACTCGGTTCGCTGTTTCCAATAGCCACCGTTGAAAGTCGTTCACGTATACAGAGGCGCTGCTGAATCTTTATATACGTTTCAGTGAGATTAATACAGCACGCTAGGGTTTTACAAGATTGGAAGCTTTGTGAGTCCGATAAGAAGGGCGGGACCGGGCCCCACGGCGTCATGTATCAGCAAGTAACTCTCTTGGTGCTTTGACAAAGCCTTACCGATAATGATTAGTAGAGGAAAAGTAGCTGTCCCGTCATTTTTTTTTTGTGTGCGAGCTGATTTATCAGTTCGGATGGATGAATTCATATCAGCTTTCGCATACCGCCTCGAAACTCCTGTCAATGATTGTCAGTGCTTATTTAACATGAGTGTGTCAAAAACATGCAACGACGATGAACAGCTCATTAGTTGAATGGCCTAGCACTAAGTATGGACGTAACAGTACGATTAGCGCGGCGTTATTGAATTTCTAAAGGTGGTGAGCAGCATAAGAAGCGATTGTACGTGGCGCCTTGTGCTTGACATGCAATCTGAAAAAAAAAATCTTCTTTGTACAGCCATCTTATATACGTGCTTTCTTCACTAACGTATATAGTGCAGAACATCGTCGCGGGTGTTAGCGACCAATGCGACTTTCGAAATACCATGAAAGCGAACACTAAAATGTTTTCTTTACTGTCTGCCAATAATATTTCTGTGCATCTGTGGCGACATCTTTTTCGAACATATATTTCACGACATTCAACTGCGATGCGAGTCGCCTTATGTATATAGTTTAAAACTGTGAGTCGTGCATTCCTGAGCAATGTCGGATGGGGAGAGCACGCACAGATTCAGCCACTTCGAAAATCACTCCACGCAATCAACTAATGATATCCGCGTGGCAGGTAACGTGTCATGCTGCTAGGTTCGACGACGCGGCGTCAGTTTATGGCTGCCGTAGGGGACAGGAATGCGAAGAACACCCGTGCATGCAAACTACTTGAGGCCCGTGTGTACTTAGATACGGGCGCACGTTAAGGAAGCTCCGGTGGTCAAAATATTTCGTGTCTTTCCACTAGAGTGCGCCTCATCATCACTTCGAGGGGTAAAATCCTTGGAACATGACGGAGATGCAACGTTTCCGACAAGCGAAACTGGCTTCTTCAATGCTGCAAGTGAACGACTTCGACGAACACGCGTCCATCTGTCGAAACACCGGCTTTAGCGACATCACGCGCTCTATGAGCCTAAATCATGTAAATGTTGCAGTCGTACGCCCTAAAACAAGGACATGATTACGAAGGACGCCGTACCGGAGGGCTCTGGATCTGTAACATGCACCTAAATCTATTCTCATGGGTACGGAAATGTCACTTTGGCACGGGCACCGAAATGGTGCCCAAAGATGATGATGACGGCGTTGTTGTAGTCGAGCTTAGTCTGATCAGGCCTGTTGACTTACATCCTGGTGTGCAGCATAGAGTTTCCTAAAGTTAACTATAGGGGGAACTCTGGCACTGCGATCGTTCAGCGACCATGGGAATCCCCTCTGTAATGCCCTCGGGCCCTGAGGGTACAATAAATAAATAAATGGTGGGTAGTACACGGATTTGCCTAGCTTTCCTACTTGCGGTCGGCGAATCGCAGTTGTGGTTTCGTTTATCGCTGGTTTCAGTTTCGTTTTAGAGGGAAGAACAAACCGTTTTGAACTTCTTGACCCGATTTGAAATGGTAAGCCTAACTTGGTGAAGGTGGTGAAGCATGAATGCCGAACATTTGCCGATTGCTGTTTCGTGACAAAGCAGCTTCAAGCCGCGCGAAGCCCAAAGGAACTTAAAGTACGAACATTAGGCAAATCCGTATACTATACCCATAATTCCGATGCTCGCTGAAGCGCCATGCGTCACAGCTTCCATATAGACACTAGCGTCAGAGTTCCCTCTAGTGGAAACTCTATAGTGCGCAGTGTTAGCCCGTCTAGTGCTTACTGAATAATTGCTCCTTCTAGCATATTTTTGGCGGCGGTGCGGTGTAATATGTCATGGTCCCTATAAGTACTCCTTGCAACACTATGGGCCGTATTCACAAACGCTGCTGAACTCGAAACTTGACCTCAAGGGTTCCTTGAGACTTTTCTCGCTGCAGAAATTGCAATGTGAAACAGTCCTCAAGGAGCCCTTGAGGTCCAGTTTCGAGTCGAGGAGTGTTTGCGAATACGAGCCTCTATGGGCCCCAAACACTGCGCCTCCATCAAAATGCGGCCGTTCCGGCCGGGATACGATCCCACGACCTTCGTTCGGGTCAGCAGTCGAGTACCATAAAGACCACCGAGACGGGTGATTTTTTTTTTTTGTCTGTTCAAGACTTCACCTTTCCATGAACGTCTACTTTATTTGGATTTTTATAAACACATGGCGGCTTTTATACCTAAAAGTCTAGAATTACACTACATTACAAAACACTGAATTTCGGGCCTTCATTTTCATTTACAACAAAATGCCACGAATATTTTTATATACGACAGCTAATATTGGGACCTTTATATGTAGGGGCTTAAACCATCATTTTTTATCAGTCAGAGTGATTTTGTATTGTGGTGCGCCAAAGCTGGACAATTCTGGCACAGAGTCAATCTTTGCATGTGTGCAGTCGACTAAAGGGTCACATTTCTGTTTTTACTTTTGCGGAAACTTTTTGCGTGCTACAATGAAACAAAATCGACGAAGAACGAACGATATGGGACACTATGTACAACCAACTGGCCCCTACCCTGACATGCTTTAATTTCGCATATATGAAACAAAAAAAAACGTGTATACAATATATGTAATTTATAAGCGTGGGCATAAGTGTTGGCAGCCGTGTACCCCTCGATGACGTCACCAAGACATGCACGAAACTGAGACTGGTCGAAGTGTAACTGGAATGCAGTAAAATGTTTAATCGCGGTCAGTGTATGACATCCGACGCTGAAATCACCCGTTAAAGGGCCCCTCATCCCCTTCCGAAGATATAAAAAACGAGTGCGCTATTCTCTCCTGGCGTTTTCTCGTCTTTATCGCACCCTACGTCACGCGAAAAGAGTGATTCTCCTGAAGTCGTAACGGTAAATACTCTCGATTGGCTCATATGTGCGAAATGTCAGATGCGCATTGTTTCTTGCACTGGTTTGCCAAGCAGTCACCACAGAGTTTCCTAATATACACTAGAGGGAACTTAGGCGCTGGTGTCTATGGGAGCTGCAACGCATGGCGCTTCAGTGAGCATGGAAATGATGGGTAATACACACATTTGTCTAATTTTTGTACTTCTGGCCCGCATCTGGCTCCGCGTGTGTTCGTGTGGCTTGGAGCTGTTTTCTCACGAAACAAAAAAATCAACAAATGTTCAGTGGTTGTGCTTCACCACCTTATATTTTAAAGCTTACCTTTTCAAACCAGGTCACGAAGTTCAAAAGGTTTTGTTCTTTTCTTTAAAACGAAACCGTAACAAGCAATAAACGAAGTCGCAAGTACGATTCGCCACCCGCAAGTACGAAGACTAGGCAAATGTGTACTACCCATCATTCCCATGGTCGCTGAACGATCGCAGTGCCAGGGTCCCCTCTAGTCAATTTTAGGAAACTCTGTGGCAGTCACCCATTCGTTCTTCTTCGCCTCTCGTGACCATCGGGCGTGATCAACTGACTTCACTTCATTCTTTTGTGTTTCCGACTGCGCAGATAACCGGTCATGTAGTCGACAAGCACGAAGTCTTGATCGGTTAACGCTTAGTGCTGACTTGGTACACATGCGTTTGAGAAATAATCATCGAGAAAGAGAGATCTCCTGTAGGCATGGTAGCAAAGGTGAGGAAAAAAACCATTGCCTCGTCTTTGAACGCAGCCTGCTGAGGGGCCCCTTTAATGTTGGTAGCGGCTAGACGGAGTTGGCGAGCGCAAAAATGTTCGTACCACGATCGAGACGCCCAAATGGAAGCTTATCTCTTACAGTAAACATTGTTACATCGACGGTAATTGTCGGTTGTGTTCTCTTTTCCACATGTTCACGATGGCGCCTATATAATGCTTTATCCAATTGAGCTCCATTGGCTGCCTCTTTCTCAACACGGGGTTTGATATTTGGTAGCATTTTTTGATGAAACGTAAAAAGTGTCTATAAGCAAGTGTTTTTGCATAAATTCAGGTGGTCTATTTTAGTTCCAGCTCTCCGACAGGCCAAGTCGAAAACTTAGTATGGCGTTCGCTCGGGCTCCTCGTGGTCTGTCACAGGTCTATAGTCTTTGCGCCAAATCAAAGTAGTTAAAACACGGACAGGCGAGATGCGCGCGAGCGCTACGTTCTAACCGAGGTGTTTTTTTTTTTTTTTGTGTGTGTGTGTGATAACTGACTGTTACGGTAAATAAAAGACAAAAAAAAACGCGCTAGTACGTTTTGCGCCTTCTTTTTGCGCGTTGCTTACTGCGGTTCGACTTAAATGAAAGTAGCGAATTTAGTCGCGTAGTCATCGTGTTGCTTGCCACCAGGTTCAGCCTGGCGGATCACCTTCCTCCTTAAGTCTGACGACAATAAGGTTGTGTTCGCTCTCTCTGCTTGCCACACGTTGAATACTGTACAATCCTCGAAGCGCGGCATATTTGGTAAGTTTATTTTCACGGTTGTGAATCTACCTGTTTTACCCCTGAGAGCGGCGAACTTCGTTTATTGGGCTCGCGCAGATCAAGCGTATGCAGCGAATGAAGTCGCGGCGGTGTTCAGAGGCTTCGTCGCTTACCTGCGGCGAGCAGTGCCAGCGTGGAGGCGAGTGCGAGGAACATGCCGGAATCCATGCGCGTCCCGGGAACACGTCCACGCGCCGCTGACTGCGCCAACCATTGGCGCGCGTGGCTTCAGCCGCGGCCTGAGAGCGGAAGGGGACGAGAGAGAGAGGGGCGGCTAACAGCGCCACCTCGAGGCACAAGAGCGAACTGCGTGGTTTCCAACGCGCCCCCCTCCAAGGTGGGAGGGCGGTAATTCTAGGCAAATAATTAAGCGTGCGTCTGCTGAATGACATTAAAGGGCATTCACATATTTGTTACATGCTGCGCAGACACTGCAGCGGGACATACGACCGCCACCGAAAACACGCAGATGCATAGAAAAATCATTTCGCACTCGTGTAAATATGTACGGGTGGGATAACATTCCAATCTCTTTTCGCGAGAATGAGAATGAATAATCTCGAGGTGTTACCTCTTGGAAACGAATTGACCGATTCGGCGACAGTGATGTTGTATTCTTTACACAATCTGACACTGTGCGAAAATGCAGTCTTATCAGTACGTTACGAAATATGTGAAGAATTAATCCGAGCCATCTTACATGCCCTTTCGGTTAGTGCTATATTAATCTTAGATTACACGACGTGGTGTTACGGTGGATACGGGGCTGAGCTGCTGAACCAAAAATTGAGGGTTGCCCCGCAGCGGTGGTCTAGTGGCTAAGGTACTCGGCTGCTGACCCGCAGGTCGCGGGTTGGAATCCCGGCTGTGGCGGCTGCATTTCCGATGGAAGCGGAAATGTAGTAGGCCCGTGTGCTCAGATTTGGGTGCACGTTAAGGAACCCCAGGCGGTCGAAATTTCCGGAGCCCTCCACTACGGCGTCTGTCTTAATCATATGGTGGTTTTGTGACGATAAACCCCACATATCAATCAATCAAATCAAATTGAGGCTTAGGTATCAGCCGCGGCGGTCGCATTTCGATTGAAATGAATCGCTAGAAGCCCATACACTTATAATTAGGTGCACTTAAAGAAACACCATGTTGTACGAATTTTCCGAACCCTTCAAGAGGGGGCAATTCTTGATCCGACCTGGGTATTAGCACGTGAAATCTTAGGAAAATAGTAACTTTCAGGCTAGTCGTAGTCATATTAAATAGTATAATATACACTCCTAGAAAATAGGAAACTTGGTGATGTGCTTAATCATTTCATGTTTAGCGTTTCATAAACGTACTTTTTGAAAAGCGCAGCAAGCAGAAACACATTAGGATACGTTTTCAGACTTGCAGTTTGAATTAGAAACAATAAATCTCAGATATGACACGCTATTTCATTATTTTCGCGAATGCCTGATGCTTTCTTTCCTGGTGTCCCGGATTGAGGGCGCCGCCCACCTGCTGGTGATGCTTAAGAATTTAATTAACACGGCCAAAAAATGCACGACTTCAACAAAACGACTCGGAGGACGTTTGAGCCAACGTTTATAAATATATATCTATAAACGTTGGTTTGAGCGTCGCCTTCAACAGCAGAACGCTATACATCGTAATCAGGCCTCGCGCCTTCTCAAATGCTACCCTGCTACGTTTCTCGGTGCGTGCCTGAACCATTCCGTGAGACATCGAACGACGGTGTGCGCAACATTGGCTGTTTCAAAGCGTCCTTGATCGCCTACTGCAAGCAGGCTTCTTAAAAACCCACAACGCCGCAAATATTCCTTTTGCTAGTCAGCGAAGGGTCCACTACAGGTCCGTCGGGCAACGCGCCAACCTTCGAAGCTGTCCACTTTGTTTATGCTTTTGCAGCTGATGACGATAAAATCTGTGTGAGTGCTTTGTAATGGGTGGACCTTTAAAACACCCACTCGTTGCGATGTTTGGATGTTTTGACGCCTGGCGCAATTCTAAGCTTCTGCCACGCAATATTATTGTATGCGGTAGAAAGATGTTTTTTTTTCAGTGCATTTGCAGTGTTGTTGTTTTTTTGTCAGTCTTAATCGTCGTTATTTTATTCGTCGTTATTTACTGCTTGTTGATCTTTCTCGTTTTTGCTTGCTATCATACTCCCTTTCTTTCTCTCTCTTTTTCTCGCTTACTCTTTCTTTTTCTTTGTTACTGTAGTTGTTCTTACTCCCATCAGAATTATTGCACGCAACGTGGGACAAATCGGCGCCCGTATTTCGAGAGCGAAGCAGAAGATGAAGAAGAGAACGAATTGATTCGCCCCGCCGCGGTGTTATAAGGTACTCGGCTGCTGACACGCAAGTCGCGGAATCGAACCCCGGCTACGGCGGCTGCATTTTCGGCATGGAGGCGAAAATGCTGTAGGCCCGTGTGCACAGGTTTAGCTGCACGTGAAAGAACCCCGGAGGGTCGAAATTTCCGGATCCTTCCACTACGGCGTCTCTCATAAGTATATGGTAGTTTTGGGGCGTTAAACACCACATATCAATCAATCATGAAGATGTTATAAATTTGTCTCGTTATGTAAGTAACGAAGTAGGTAATGGTATATGAAGATGGCAGTAAGAAATCCACTGTAAAGGACATGTCTTAAGCATGCTTAAGTGTGGCGCGCGAATTATGCATTCGACAATAAGGTGTGTTAAAATTAACTACGAAAGCAAAATTTGTCGCAGCGTCTAATAACTTGTTTTCTTATGTTAATCAATCAGGTACACAACTTACACTGCAACATTTTTTTAGTCATTTGTGTAACAGTACATGATTCTTATGGTGCTTGTGGCAACAGGGGACGTTGAAAGAAATGGCACCTGACTGGCATCTAACACCATACGTGCATTCACAGCACAGAATACTCGCATGCGCGTGGCAAATATTTTACAAAAATTACTATAGCACTCATAGTAGAATTGACATGTTAGTGGAATTCCGCAACACAAAAATGCAACTACTACAACTGAGAACATGAGACGTCATATACAGAAATAATAAAGAAATGATACGGAAGCAGTGGCATGAAAACAGAATTGCTGGCCTATCGACAGTAATGGTATGACATAACACAGATTAGAACTAGTGAATAAATAAATACATAATAGATAACTGAATGATTCCCTAAATGGGTAAACATTCGAAAATTGCAGTAATAAAAGTTCATCAGCATCACAATCTAGAAAATATTTTTCGGATTGCTTGCTGAATGTTGCCAGCGTGTGATATGCAGTAATACAATACCTTAAATCCTTGTGGGTGTATAAAAGGTTTGTAATTTGCCAGTTTAGTAAATGTAGTCCATAGTTTGTTCTGCTCTTTGGCTTAATAATGAATGCCGAATATCTGAAGTGATACCGAGGGGAATTATTACTGTGTGTAAGAGGATAAAAGCGTTTTAAAATCGGCTGTGTATTGAGAACAAATGAGCTAATGAGGAAGCAGCCCTCAACTACAGCCGTAATCTGGCAGGGCCGGCGTAAGCACATTCGGCGAAATGGTGCAAATTGAAGTGGCAGCCGTTGCACAGGTGGGTTCACTTTTAGAAGGAATGAACACTCGAGCACGCGTGGCTTACGCCCCACACAGCGTCGTGCACAGCAAGCATGTGAGAAATCAAGCGCACGCGCAAAATAACATACTAGCACCACCTCTTCAAAGACTGGGCTTGCAACTATCACAACCTGATCTTCTTTCATTTGGAGCCTCTACACTGGGTTTCAGCCACAGGGATGTTTTATTCGCCGTTCAAGAATACATCACTGCGACTAAACGATTTTCTTGCTTAATTACTGTCTCACCATTTTTCTTCTTTTTTTTTCTGCAAACTTGATATCGGTATTTCAAATCAAAATTAGGTTACAAAACATTTGTAGGAATGACGCATTGCTGAAAGTTTAGGGCAAATTCACCTTATAATCGGCCAATCCTCTTCTTTGGGTACGAGCCATTTGCACAGGAAAACAACAACAACAACAACAACAACAACAACAACAACAAACAACAACAACAACAACAACAACAACAACAACAACAACAATAACAACAACAACAACAACAACAACAACCCCGAAGTGGCACATGCCGGGCATAGTTTGCTGCTGAAACTATGTATTTTGCCTTGAAGTATGCAGCCATTAACCCAACAGCCGAAAAGAGTCACTATTATAATTTATGATGTTGGAACAGCGCTTTTCCATTGTCGATAACATACACATATCAGCGGACTTTTACTCCTTAGTACGGCGCCTACCTTTCCCAGGCTCTTTTTGGTGGCTGTTGCGGGGTGAAGAACCGCTTTTTTTTTTTTGCTACCACGCACAGTCGCCGATATATACCGCTACACGGTACTCCAGGTATCGCTACCCCCCCATCATTGTCGGTGGTAGAACCGGGAATCAGCTGCGCCTGTGCACGTTTGCATCGCATCACTAGCAATTTCCACTTTGAAGGTAGGCAATGCTATATCTGTCGTACGGGTCTCACAAAAACGAGAAAACAGCATTGTTGTATTCGTTACCGGAACAAAAATAACTAATTATGTTACTTGTTACTCCAACAAAAAAGGAACGCGTTACCGCCCTAGGTTATCTACAAAAAAAAGGTAACACATTACCATTACCGAAAAAAGTAACGGATGCTACCTCTGCCGTTACTACTAGATCATAAACTTGAGTCAATGTGTCTTTGTTACAGGTACTCATAATAAAAAACTTTTTATGTCTCAAAGCTATGTTTCACATAAAACTTTCCAAAAAATATTATATTCGATATGCTCAAGTAACGAGTGAGAGAGAATTATTTTAATGGGGAGCTGGAGAGGTTTGCCTGGTTTTTCACCTGACAGGCTACTCCAGTTGCCGGCTGATGACAATGATATACACAATGATAAACACACAACACATACAGTTACATACACGCATAACAGTCACATAACACATAAAGTCACTCACACGCACTGCACTATTTACAAAGTTTCGTTCAAACCTGTGGCCCGTAAGAATGTCAGTAGCGCTTTTGTAGAGTCTAACGCAGTGGAGGTGTTCTGCCATGGGCTTAGAATATGTTTCAACTCCAAGTTTGTGTCCTGTTGTATATTT